TGGCCCCCCCCCCCCCCAACCCTTAACCTGAACATCATTGAAAGTGGTATTTTTGGTTTCTTTATGTTGTTTTCGTCATTGGACACCTGTTTGTTACAAACGAAAACACTTAGCACAGGACCGAAACCTGCACACCCCCTTAACATCCTAAGGATACCGGAGGAAGGAAAAAAGTAAAAGTAAGTACAAACGAAAGGAAAACTACAGCTTGGGTACATGCATTACTTAGCGTACACATAAGCAGCAGAGTATGAGCGAGACCAGTGTTGTGTTTGCTCTTGTCTCATACCTGCCAGCCTGAAGTGGTACCTGGACATACTGAGCAAAGTGCCCTCGAGTACTCCACATATACGCAACAATCGACGTATTTACCAGTAGTTGCATTGTTCCCCTTTTGATAGTCAACGACACAGGGCGTTATATTGTAGGTAGATCATACCGACGACATGCCTTTTACGTCACGCACGGCCAGTCTCAACTATTCGACAAAATGAACAAGGGGCTACAAATCTCCTAGATCAACATGACATGCATGGTAGCTAGAGCTGGACGAGCACCAATTTCCCGATAAACCGGATTTTGGAAACCACCATATTGTGTAAATAAACGCTTCGAATGGAGTTGAGGTCAAAATTGTGGAAACGGTTTATTTACTGCAAAACGAGCTAATCAAAGAATCCACGCCTCCCATGCTGATGCCCCCAGAATATTAGTACGACAATGATTGTTTTCAAAGAATTCCACGTGATGCTATTCAGTTTTATGGTAAAGTGTTTGCTTCACGGTCAGCTTTATTATTTACACTATAGTGTTTGCTTCTCTGTCAGTGTCAGCTTTATACAAAAGTGTGTGCTTCACTGTCAGCTTTATACATTAGTGCTCTGCATAACTTACGCTCAGTATCAATCTCTCAACACCATCCTTTCCAAAATGATTTATTTACCAAAAATGTAACACAAGGCACCGAACTAACATCAAATTCATAGTCCTATAGTCCTCCTCTAGTGTTCTTCCTTCGATGTCACCCTTTACAGACCTATGGAACAGTTCATAAAAAGCAAAGTTAGGCCCAAAACAGAGTATATCCTTTTCAAGGAATGACTTTGAATTAATTTAATTACAAGCCAAACAGAGAATCCAGGTAGGTATTATTATTTTGCAAGCAGCATAAAAAGAGCCATTTTAAAAAGACATTAAGGCAAAGTATGCCTAGATCTAGGCTCTATATGAGAATTAATTGTTTTGCAGAGCAGGAAGCAATTACCCAAATTACGATCTCAACAAAGAACGGTCTCTTTCTGGAAAATGAACCGGCTATCCGGATGTTTATTCCTGATTTTGCTCACTGCAGAGATCAGGTGGTTGGGACATTTTGGGTATTATTGATCAGTTCTCTGGGCCGTAACCTCCGATCACAGTTCACGCTAAGACAACTCAATACAACCTCCTTTCTCCTCCTCTACTTCTCCCTCACGTCCGGACACACCTCCTACTTCTACCGAAGCCCCCCACCAAGACCAATTCCCTTCTTTCCTTTCGCCTCGTCGTTCTCCCTTACCAACTGGTCTATTGTTCCGAGGATCTTTACTCGTCCTTCTTCAAAGCGGCCCATGACACTGCGAAAAGTCAAGCGTGTCCATTATTGTTGAAGGGTATAAGACAAAGTAATCCTGAAGGCTTTGGGAGGACATTTTTGCCCAGATTACTTAGCATGTACATGCAGGTTACGGGCTGTGCTGTTCTGGTAAATTTTAAGGAATCAAGTCGGTTGTTAAACAGCTTTATTATCTTTTTCTTTAACTGACCGAAAAGTGTTAACACCCAGAGGCTAATTTTTATTTTTCTGAAAATACATCCCCGCATATTATACTTTACAACTTCAGTTAAATATGTCATTAGGTGAAATTAGTTTTTACACTATGTACACATTTGTATTTTGTGCTCAGTTCCAATCAATACAAGTAGACTATCATGCCGATTCGTTTCCCCCATCCTAACTATCTAATCGTCGGAATATGAAGCTACTGAGTAAAGAAGAAGGATT